ATCCTATCACTGACAGCTTTGTACTTCAGAACAGATCTTGAAACATCCTTTTTGATGATGAATGTCATGCCATTCCTCTACAATTTGTCATTCCTGGCATAATGTATCATATAATTGTCTGATTCAAAACAGCCAAAACTGGTCCATTTCAGCTCACTGATGCATAGGATATCAATCTTTATGCATTTCATTTCATTTTTGACAACTTGCAATTTTCCTAGTTTCATACTTTATACATTTGATGTTCTAATTATTCATGGATGTTTGCAACTGTTTCTCCTCAATTTGAGTCATGCCATATCAGCAAATGGAGGTCCTGAAACCTTTACTTTATCCATATCATTAATGTTGGTTCTATTCTGATGATGCAGCTCTTTCCCAGTCATATTTTGAATGCCTTCCAACCTAAGGGGCTGGTCTTTCTGCACTGTATCGGACAATGTTTCAGTGCTATTCATAAAGTTGCCCAGTTATGTATCACACAGTTTCTCTGCTATTTATAAGGTTTTCCTCAGCCAACTTTCTGAGAAGTGAATGGCCTCTTCCTTCTTCCTCATCTGTCCCAGTCTGTAAACTGCATTGAAACCTGTGCAACATGTGCAACCCTGCTGGCATTTAAGCCACCACCTACGGCACAGCCTCAAGCCTCACAGCAACATGCCACCACAGTACAACAAACTGACAAATTTGTCTTCCTTAGCTGTTCAAAACCTCTCTTCCCTCCCCTTACCTGGATCCTGTGGCTCTATCATCCCTGGCTTTCCCCCCATCCCTTCCTGCCTTTTGGCTGTGTGGCCTGTCTCCCTCCCCTTACCTAGATCCCTTGGCTCTTTCTCAGACCTGGCTCCTTCCCCCACCTCCCACATCTGGGTGTGTGACCTGTCTGCTTGCCCTTACTTGGGTTCCTGCAGCTCTGTCTCAGCCCCAGCTTCTCCCCTGCCTCCCACATCTGGGTGCCTGGCCTAGATTAGACATAGGTTATTATCAAGGCCTTAAATTTCATGTAAGGATGTGTGGTCACAGGTGCTTATTACATTATTAAAAGTAACTAATTAAACACAAAAGAGGTCCATGTGTAGACAGATGTAGGGGGTATCTCATATCCTAAGGATTATGATTATTGTTGTTAGTTGCCATCAAATGGATTCCACCTCATGGTGACTCCATGGGTTACAGAGAGAACTGCTCCACAGGGTTTTCTTGGCTGTTATCTTTACAAAAGAAGATCACCAGACCTTTTGTTCCATGGTATCATTGGATAAATTCAAACTACTAACCTCTAGGTTAGTAGTTGATTGTAAACCATTTGTGCCACCAAGAGACCTTTTAAAGATCATGATTAATTTAATTATATTCACCTAGAGTCCTTCAAGAAGGACAAAAAGAGGTATGATAATTTGTCCATATTTCCTGCTTGTCAATGACAGAGCCAGATCTTATGCCCAAGGCCCCTACATCACCCTGGAGAATGATGGCCCCAGGGAGAGGAGAGCAGGGGGCTGTGGAAAGTAATTGTTCCTCAAAATCTCAAACAGGATTAAATTCTGCCTGCCTGGAATTGACCATGCACTGAATAGTAGGAGTCTGGAAAAGGTTAAACACATGGAATTCTGTTCTTCATCCAGATTTTCTTTGTAGGTGTTGTAAGAAATGCTGGCTACATGGCCAATGAAAGGAGAGCTTAGACTTATGTTTTCTAAGAAGTAGGGATTTTAGCTGCATTGAAACCCCATTAGGGAGAGCCATGATGATCTGGGGGATTGGGGAGAATAGTGGCTAAGAGATAGGAGTGTAGAGTGGGGGCAGCAAGGAAGGGAGAGAAGAATGATTCAACAGAAAGGAAGGTGAGAGTGAAGTCAGAAGAGAAGAGTCCACTCTCAACCATGTTTCAGTCTCTCTGCAGCAAGAGAGAGGGAAGGAGATAAGTTTTGTCCCTTAGATCAGACCTTCAGGTCTTAGTATCACATTGTATATTGTTGTTTAATTACTTCGTCCCAACTACTGTTGTTGTGTGTACCATCAAGCTGATTCCAACTCATGATGACCCTGAAGGACAGAGTAGAACTGCCCCATAGGGTTTCTGAAGCTAATATTTATGGGAGCAGGTCTTTTCTCCCAGGAAGCCCCTGGTGGGTTCAAACCACTGACTTTTAAGTTAGCAGCTGAGCTCTTTAATCATCATGCCACAGAGCTCCTTTCCCAAGTTATGGTGTCTCCAAATGCCCATCCTATTTTTCCAGAAATGAAAATAGCCCTATCTTCTCTCAAAAAGGATAAACTGACTCCAACTCATGGTGACCCCGTGTGTGTTAGAGTAAATGGCTGATTTCTCAGAAGTAGATCCCTAGGTCTTTCTTACGAGATGCCTCTGGGTGGATTAGAACCTCCAACCTTTCAGTTACCAGCACAGCACATAACTGCTTGTGCCACCTACAGACTCCTTACAAAGGATGTTGTTGTTGTTGTTTGCCATCGAGTCGGCCCTGACTCATAGCGACCCCTCCTTGGGTTTCCGAGGCAGTATCACTACGGAAGTAGGAATGCCCAACCTTCCTTCCGAGGAGTGGC